TAAAGTAACACTTAAATGCTATTGCTAGTGTTCTAATAATTTTGGCCCCCACTGTAAACCTGAAGGTAAACATATTTTTAATATTCACTTACATTTTACAATACATATTCAATTAATATATTAATAATATAGTATAATATATTATAATTAACACATTAACTTTGATAGCCCTAAGAAATTAGCTTGTGTATTTACCTGCCTCACTTTGCTTTAGTCTGGAGTCCAAGATGAGCTTGATGTGGTGTTCCTATAATACTTTTGCATGGTGTCCACCCTAGGAAGATTTGGAAAACCTCATTTGAGTCCTGTGGGGGTTAACCTCTCACCTGACAGGAGATCTTGATTATTCTAGTGTTTATCTACATAACTGAGTGACTATGCTGTGTTTAGGGTGACACAGGTGCAAAGAGTTCTGGCCCTCAACCATAACATACACACACGGAGACACAGAGAGTAATGCTATAATCACATCCCACTCAAAGTGTGCACTGTAGTCTGTAATTATGGAGCGAAGGCTCAACGGTGCTTTTTGAAAGAGGGATGATCATCTCTGCTTCCTTCACTTTGCGGTGTGCGTTGCAGTGTCACCCGTGCCCTCTGGATAGCAATGCGCGTGAGCATAAATGGCTGTGCATGATTAGTGAAGAATATGAAGAACGGAGGAAGTGGAGATAATGAATGAATAAGATGAAGCTGTGGGAACCGAGAGCAGAGATGTCACACACTTATGCCACTGTCAGCTGTATTGTACTCTCATCAACACACCCCTCACAGACCTGCAAACAGCGCACAACCATAACCTTACACCTTGGCTACATTAGCTTTAGCAGCGCAGTAAGCATATTAGTCAGACATCTAATTGGTTAATTAAGAGAAAAGAAAGCCTGAGTGGATTATACATTGACTGTTCACCTTTATTTCCAGTTCCCACATTCACCGGTGTCCCCCAGTAGCACTGCAGACATCACAAACTCCTCAAATTGACCTGATAAGCTAAACCAGTACAGTGATGTTGTAATTTGTTTTAGTGGGTGTGTTATAAGCAAGTATAGTGCTCATAAAAACAATCTGTTGTGGACTATTGTACCCTAAATCATAGATATTGCTTTCTGAGAAGTGAAAATTAAGCTTTTTCAACAACTCGTTCTGAATTTCTCTTCCTCATTCTTTTTCTTATTCACAGGTATTTCCGTCACACAATTGTAATGCCATTATCACCCTTATGAAAACAGAATAGCGAAACTCCATCGAACCTTCAATAATGGTGAAGTGTGTATATTTTTGGCACCATTTTTGACACTAAACAGAATGTCAAAAATTATGACTTTTCAAACAGGTTTCCCAAGCAGATTTTTCAAACACTTCCCTTGTCTGCCACTAGCTGAGTGAAAATATCATCTCTACCCAACCTCATGCCTTTATTATAGATCTGAGTTATAGATCTTTTGAAGAATGTTTCAACTCTTTTTTTCCATACAATCAAAGATAAATGAGTCCAAAATAACACTGGACACCAATGACTCTCATTGCATTGACATTTTTCAAAATATCTGGTTTTGTATTCCAAAGAAGAAAATCTTATAGTTTTGGAACAATATTTGGGTATTTAGGTGACCCAGTTGAAGACTGACATGGAAGAGAAGAATTGTTGAATAAAGTTGTTATTTTTGTTTTCTTTCCACACAAAAATTATTCTCGTAGCTTCATAAAATTACGGTTGAACCACTGATGTCACATGGACTATTTTAACAATGTCCTTACTACCTTTCTGGGTCTTGAACATGGTAGTTCCCTTGCTGTCTATGCAGGGTCAGAAAGCTCTTGGATTTAATCAAAAATATCTTAATTTGTGTTCCAAAGATGAATGAAGGTCTTAAGGGTTTGGAATGACATGAGGGTGAGTAATTAATGACAGAATTTACTTTTTGGGTGAACTATCCCTTTAAGCCTTGAGTTAGGAGAAAGTATTTTTACCTTAAAAAATTACACACTTTGAAACTAGTGAAAATGGAAAACAAGTAAATCTTTTGAGAGTTGAAAAGTGACATAATCTATTCAAAACTTTAGTTAAACACAAGGGGATTTCACCATCGTCATTGTATTTAACCATATACTTAACCCAAAGGGTCATTTTACTCTCTGATACCGTGATGTCATTTCCGTGGTTTCCCTAGAATTGTCATTCGAGCTGGTTTATATGACACTTTTGAGATTGTAATACTATATTTAACAGTATTGTATACAGCGAACATCACAGCGTGACTGAAAAGTTGCTGATCGGAGAGGTGTGTGTGGGGATATGGATGGGGGGTTGGAATTTGCAGACCATGTGGAGACACAAGGCAGTAAATAAAGTGAAACCTCATGGTTGCTTTACTTTATGGTGTTTTTCCAGCATGTCACGTTCCACATACTGTTTATGAGATGTGTGTGTGTGTGTTTATTGCGCAGGGGGAGGACGGAAGCTTCACATGACCATAAAAACCATACGGACAGGAGAGCTGATCAGGTGTGAGGGTTACCACGACAACTACAAAGAGAGAGAGAGCTCTCCAGTGTTTACAGGCTGATTGACGTCAGAGAGATTTTTAATCTGTGGAAATAAGGAGGATGCAGTTCAGAATATCACAGCTTCACCTGCATCACATGCACGTTTTAGAGGACTACAGTGTGGTAGGTTATTGGTCATTGATCACACATGGGACTCTTTCACTGATATTTCTGTGTGAATTATTTATATAGAGTAAATTTCTCTTGAAGATGAATGAAGAAAACAAGTAAAACAGTATTGATGTGTGTCCGGTATCAGTAAGGATATTAGTCACACATGGACCAAGATTCTTGCTGATCATCAGCGTCAGTAACATTAATGTCTGTCTTTCTCATCACGTCATTTGATGACTCTTTAGTGTTTACTTTCTAAATTTAATTACCTTTTAAAAGATTCATTAATTAGCTGACTCTGTCACACATCCCGATTTCTAAAGTATAAATATATATGTGTTTTGATAATACAACCCATAATATGTGACCCTGGACCACAAAACCTTCAAAAAAGGAGGTTACGTAAGTAGCACGGGAATATTTGTAGCAAAAGACAACAATATATTGTATAGGTCAAAATTATCGATTTTTATTTTATGCCACAAATCATTAGGATATTAAGTAAAGATCATGTTCCATGAAGAAATTTTGGAAATTTCCTACCATAAATATATCAAAACTTAATTTTTGATTAGTAATATGCATTGCTAAGGATTTCATTTGGACAACTTTAAAGTCGATTTTCTCAATATTTAGATTTTTTGCACCCTCAGATTCCAGATTTTCAGATAGTTGTATCTCATTCAAATATTGCCCTATCATAATAAACCATACATCAGTAGAAAGCTTAATTATTCAGCTTTCAGATGATGTATAAATCTCAATTTCAAAAAATTGACCCTTATGACTGGTTTTGTGGTCCAGGGCTTAACCATTGCCCTTGGACTGCAATGAAAATGACACAGGTACAATCCCAGGTAAGGGAAACCTGTAAACTAGAGACTTGCTGAGACAACCCTATCACCATTATATCCTTGAGCTAACATCACCTTGGTACATAAACATCAACCATAACAGCCTTGAGTAATTCATAACAGGTATAGATATTTCCACATTCACTGGGCTGAAAAACAACTGGACTCTGCTTGGAGTTACATAACACAAAATCATTTTGTAATCATATGTAATGTGTGAATTGAAAAATGACACCTTTCACTGCAAATAGAAATTCCATTATTGAAGAGCAGGTTTCTATAAAACTAGGGCACCTTGAATGAAAGAGAAAGACAGAAAAAGCAGGAAAGAGAGCTGTAACAGTACCTGAGGTAAAGTTACTGGTGAGGAAACTCTGCCAATGAGGAAAGAATTTCTGAGTATTAGGTTGCATCCTTATAAACTCTTGTGTGAACCCTGCACACTTGATCTGAAATGATTTTTCATCACTTGAACTGACTCTTAGCACTCCACAGACAAGAGCAAATAATCTAAAAGAGGAGAGCGAGGAGGAAAATTAGTGAAATGATTCAGTGGAATCAATCTATGTAATCAGACACTGAATCTTCTTCCACTCATGTGTGTGTCTTATCCCCCTATAGTGAATTGATTTACTGCAATTACATAACTGGAAAGTTATCCAATCAGACAGAGATCATTTGTCATTCAAAATTATGAAAAATAGGTTGCGTGAAGAATGCACGCTTTAAAGGTTAAATTGATGCTTGGTCCACTGCCTTTTAATGGTTCAAATTTCATAAACAACCCCTCTGTACTTTATAATCCAGAAGACATCACTAACAGAAGACATCACACTCTCTATGTGGGGGCTTACAGCACTCCTCCAAAACAGCATTATCACATATGTATATTTATCTGCTATTATATGATTTGGTTTTAATGTCAACACCTGAATGTCATCTTTGGTTATGTATGACATAAAGATGAGATCATTGAGACAGTTCACATTTGAGACTGTTATTGCACCTGTGGAGCAAAGAATTTAACAAATACATCAAGACCTATGACGTTATTCGATGTATTTACATGTTTCCTCTTGTATTGTAAATTCAAGTTCGCATTTTTGCACTTTGTGATGAACTTGGAGTGTATTTGAGATTAATTATAATCTCTTGCATGAATTCAACTTGACTAAATGAGTTTCTGTTCCATCAGGAAGGATTTCTAGGTATTCTGAGGTCATGAAAACATTGTACTATTACTTTTAAAAGTGGAATTCAGGCTTGCCTAATAGGCAGCCAAGTCTGTTACTGTAATGGATTCAGTCTTTCTTGTGCGTCAATGGCTGAAGCGCTCGGAAATCAATGCGCTGTCGCTTTAAATGAAGTGAAAGGTGGGTGTTACCATTGGGCGCAAAGAGCGAGAGTGGGGCGGAGACAACATTAAATATGTATCAGTCTAGTTACCCCTTAGAGACTCAACGCAGATGAATGAGACAGATTTGGAAGAAACACGCACGGCCACTCCGCTTTAATCACGTCCAATTTATCCGACACTTCCAGAGAAGTGTAAATGGGCAGACTATAGATGCTCAGTGCATGAAGGCGACTTGACAGTGCAGACGAGCGCACGTCGCTTAAGTCTCACATATTACTGGTTGCGATTTTTGAATTGGATTTCAACAGTTTTGCAACCTTTGAGATATTGTTATTGTTTTCCTAGCCTTTTTTTTTTAATTTTTTTTTAAATTCACAGCCGATATGGACACCATATTGGACAACTTCGCTTCGGACAAACTTTTTCCCAATTCCAACCTGTTGGACCTAGAGGATCTGAATGAGAGCGATTTCTTATCCAATGTGGTATGTCAAACCTCCGCATCTTCCATCATTATGAACAGTAGCAGAGAGGGAAAATGTGCAGAATCTGTCTTAAGTTGCGAATGTCTTAAGAATTTAGTAATACTTTTTCCTGTGCTCATATTATGAAATGTAAATAATAATTTCTTATAAAGTTCGTTTTGTTATTATTACTAGATAGGATAAATATATGCTTATGCTTTTATTACATATGTATATGCTTTATATATAGCCTATGTATGTATATATGAAGGTGTTTGTTCAGTTTATTTGTGTGTTTATTTGTCACACATGTCTGGGATGTTGTGCTGCAAATTAAACATAAACAAGGGCAGGAGTTCTCAAGCTGTGAAGTTTGCCCAGCTGCACACAGATAGGGGCACTTTCCAACTTGAACCGGACCTTTGGGGAACGGGGGGAGGTCTTCGTTAATGTTATTTATTCAAACCACGCCCACACGCCATAATCATCCTGTTTAACCAAACCACGCCCATACAACAATTCCAAACCACGCCCACGGATCGCTTCATCCTGTTTCTCGTGTCCGGCCACAGCCGGCGAAGCAAGATGCTCAAGTTATTGGACTTCGTGGTATATTTGCTTTCTGTTTGGAGGCCAGAAACACAATCGACGAGTTTGCCTGGCACAGAAAGTAGGAGAGTAAGAAAACTAATTTAGTGGGGAACCAATTCCGTATAGGCTACCGTCACGTTGTGTTTGTTGTTTATTCTGAAAGTATCTGAATAATCAAATCATGCCAACAAAACACTACCTCATATTAGGTGATATTGACAGATAATGTTATATTAGGCTACTGTTGGATAAAAGGTGTATATGAGTTTACTTGGGGCAAACAAAGTGCACAACAAAACTGTGACATGCAAAAAAAAAAAAAAAAAAATTTAAATAAATAAAAAAGTACCCCATCATGTTGTTCCAAACCAAAATGTTATTTTTCCATGGAAAATTGAAGGTGAATTGCTTTGAGAATATCCCAGCTTAATATATTAAAGGGGTCATATGATGTTGCTAAAAAGAACATTACTTTGTGTATTTTGTCTAATGAAATGTGTTTATGCGGTTTAAGGTTAAAAAAACACATTATTTTCCACATACTGTACATTATTGTTTTTCCTCTATGCCCGCCTTTCTGAAATGCGTCGATTTTTACAAAGCTCATCGGTCTGAAAAGCGAGGTGTGCTGTGATTGGCCAGCTATCCAGTGCGTTGTGATTGGCCAAATACCTCAAGCATGAGACGGAAATGTTACACCCCTACCATACTCTGATGCCCTGTCCGGCCGGAGCGACGAGACAAAACCAATAAAACCCATTACAAACGAGGCATTTGTAGCATCCAGTGGGGACATAATTACGGATTATAATGACTTATACTGTCTTTTTACACGTTGCGTTGCATCGCGCCGCATAAACATAAAACCATGTCTGCATTTGTGATCGGAGAAATGACAAACAACAAGTGCTACTCTTATTGCTCAAAACTCACGTTTGAAACGTCAGTGGCAAATCCTTTAAATATGAAAACATACTTACAGTCTGTGAGTCAGAACAGCCGGCATTGTAGTCTACTCTTCCAGGATCAGGAAACAGTCCTCCATAAAATGCACTGCACACATCTGAATATTTGGGTTGAACTGTTCTGGAACAGTGTTGTAAATACAACTTAACCACTGATTTCTAGTCGTGTCCTCTTTTGGAAGGCCAAACAAAGTATTTTCGCGTTTGCAACGAAACATACAGCGTCTTCACAACATGGTGGCTGCAGTAATGTTCTTTCTTTGCGTGAACATTTGGGCGGTGTTATGCAAATCTTCCCACATCGTGACGTAGACATGTGGGGGCGTGTTTGAACGATGCGTTTTAGGAGGGCGTGGACCAGTCTTAACTTTTATAAAGAATATCTCTTTGGGTTTGAGACTTTAGTCTTTGCAACTTCAGGGATCTTATCTATTCACGAACAGCTTGTAACACTGCAAAGAGAAAGGAAAACTTGAAATCGTATCATATGACCCCTTTAAAAAGTAAATGACTATTGGAGCGGTTGAGCTCTAAAATCAAAATGTGTGGGGAAAAAAAGTATACTATTATTAAAAGTGGTCTCAAAAACGAATACAGACTTCATTCAGTCCATGGAAAAGAGCGACCAGTGCATTATTCCTAAAGTGTTCCACGGAAGAAAGTAAGTCATACAGGTTTGAAGTGATGCGAGTGGGTAAATGAAGACTTTATTTTCATTTTTGCATAACATATTCCTTTAATTAGGTCAGTAGAAAAGTAATGTTTGGTTGTTAATGCATTTCACTTGACTCTAGCATGGTGTTCCATGTGCATATGATCCATTAGGAGCCCAGGACACTTCTGCAGGTTCAACAGTAATTCAGACACTCCTGTGGCTAATGCTTCTACTGACACACATTCATGATCAGGTTCTTTTAATCCCATCACAGAGAGACAGAAAGAGACATCACAAATGTCACTATTATGTGGCTCAGACGAGATGGAACAGTTTTGACCTTTATTTTAACAGGGAGGTAGCAGCAGCATCTTAAGGTCTTGTGTGGATGGACAGACAGACAGGAGACGTATTCTGTAGCCTCTTATGAGCTACCTAAGCCTAAATGCTATTTTCTACAGTACAAAGTGGTTGATAGACTATAAATTATCAACTTTATAACTAAATATATATCATACCTCCTTAATGAAGATGCAGTTGTCAGATAGATAAACAAAAGTAGATAAATATAGATAAAACTGTAGCAGTGTCCTGCGGTTTGACATGCTATAATTCATCTAAAACTATTTTTAATGGAAAATTCACCCCAAAAATTGTCTCATAATTTACTCTCCCTCACCTCATTCCAAACCTGTATGGCTGACATTCTTCTGCAGAACACAAAAGAGGACAAAATGTTTGATGACAAAATTTTTTTTTTTTTTGTGAAATATCCCTTTAAGTAGTATTTTCACCTTCTTATTTGATTATATATTTATGATTGTATATGCATTTTGTATCCTCATATTAATTGTAGTAAAAATACATTTGTCACACCGCAGGACCTTTTAAAATTAACTTGTGTATTTGATTAATATTGGTGAAAAACTTTCAATTAATGGTGGCCAGGACCCAAAATATACACCTTTCCTTATACATGTAAATTGAACTTAGAATCTTGATGCTGAAATAAAAAAAAAGGTAATAGAAATGATAATAGATATTAGATCAGCTAGATAGATAGATAATTTTAGTCACTGTCTGGCTGTGTATCTCTAATGAAATCCTTTCTTATCTTATAAGGAAGAGTGTTAGGGTTTCTTATGAAGATTTTGCTTTAGTGCCTCTCTGTCTATTTTTTTTTTCTGCTGGTCTGTTGGTTGCTGAGGGTATTTAATGGGTAGTATTCAATCCAGATGTCCCTCATTGAGTAACAGCTGTGCTCCAGTTTGCTCTGTAAGGACCTGACTAAGGGGAGAGTGACGATAGAGAAAAGAGAGAGAGGCTTGTGAGTGAAGGAGGCTCATTCACGGCTCCTGATAGCTGTCTGTGTATGTGTGCATGAGCGTATGCATGCCACTGTGCTCCTGTGTGCGTGTGTGAATGGACGTCTGTAAAGGAGACCACTCCAGACCCTCCATGGTCCCCCACTCTACCCCTTGGCATATGTGTGTGTGTTTGTATGTGTGTATGAGAGACACTGGCCCTTGAAGGCTCAGTGAATGACTGCCTTGTGCCCTCAGAGAGGAAGCTGCTCCTGGGTTACACACACTGGTTTCTGACCTCCTGTGTGTTTTTGTTCATTCATTCTGCCATTATATTTATAAATGTTAGTGGGTCGCTCCAGCACTGTTGAATTGAGATATATTTATAATCTGACAGTAACACCTGAAATCACGTACGTAAGGAAAACAGCTTGATATAGTTTAGCCATCATTTACCTAGCTTTATGTCACTGCTAATCAGAATGACATTATAACAGTGCAATGGATGGGGTCTGAAGCTTTCAGATTTCAAAAAGCACAACCGAGTACCATAAAAGTATCATAAAAATATTACTATCTCAGAATAAAAACTATAGAAGGCAATGGAAAGTCCCTATATGTGTGTGCCCGTCTGGCCGCTTAAATCACGACAATAGCGTAATTGCATGGCTTGCGCTAAAGGGTGGAAATCAGCGTGTCTCACTCTACTGTGTGTTAAAGCTAAGATCACAGAGAGGATCTGTGAACCACAACAGCGCAGAAAAACCTCAGGCTTATTTAAATGACTTTATATTATATATCTGCTGTATTTCTTTAGTGCATCCTTTATACAAAGGGAGCTGTTGTTGTGATTCTGTCTCTTTCTTTGGATTGATATTGTTGTTATACTGCTGTTTTTTGCCCAATTTCCTAAACTGAGAATGGCTTTGGTGAAAGAGATTCACCGTGTTAATCTCATAAACAGGATACTGTGATCCGTCTCTTTCGCACTAATAAAGAGAAGACATTTATTAATATAGAAATAAGAGTCTTACAAAAAACAATTAACGTGCATCTGCTGATTATATGAATGGCATTTGATCTCAGCTCACACAAAGCAATATCTGCGATAAGCTACAGAAATATGCAGTAATATAAATTCAATGAAATTCCTCTCTCTCATTTATGCATTATACCAACATTTTGACTGTTTGCGTTGCTTAATCAGTGACGTCATACTACGATATTGTCAGTGAAATGTATGCAAAAAATTCTAAAAGGTCATTTGTTGCATGATGGTACAAAGTCATCTACTACCAGTCTAACATCTTTTATCTGTTCAGTCACTTCCCACATGTGAGGAAAAAACAGAAACCTGAATATCAAGGGTGGTCGGATGCTTTTCCTCAATCTATTCTAAAGTGAAGAAGATGAGTCAGATGCAAGACCATTCCTTAGAAGCATATAGCATATATGACACTACTGAAGAAGACTGGAGATGATATCTACAGGTTTGGCAGGTCCCAC